CCCCAACACACACAAAAAGGCAAAAATATTTACTACAAACGTCTACAAAAGAATACTGAGAAAAGGGCAAGACGCCAAGCATTGTGGAGATTCTTTTAACCTAGGTCTCCTCCTCTGCAAAATGGGGTCACAATACCCTCTTCTGCCCACCTCACAGAAGTATTGAAAGGATATTTTAGAAAATGTGTCAGTGAGCAACACAAGGCATTTTAACATCACTCAGCTCATAAAATTGGCATAACATAGTACGGAATTAGCCTCAAGTATTAGTCATGCCAGTAGTGAAAAAAACTAAATAAGAAATTGCAGTAAGGAAAAAAATCCTTAGCGGTATACTGAGTGCTGGAGCTAGAAGAAAAGCGAAGGTGGGAGATGAAATAATAGCACCTTTTTCCCCCCTTTTCTGTTTTTTTTTTTTTCTTTTTATCACTTCACGCCATCACCTTTGTTGTGTAACTGAGTTAGTACCTTTACTGTGCGTGGTCTGCCCCCTCACCCCCACCCCACACCAGACTGGGTGCCCCCTGAGGGCAGGAACACTAGGCAGTTTGTTCACTCGTGTGCCCTCAGCTTCTAGCATACCACCTGGCACATGGTGACTCAGCAAATATTCTTCAACAAATGAAATGTATAATGTGATAACAGTGCACCTTCAAGAAGGACCGACGGAAAGTATTTCTTTGGGCCAGTTCCTTAACAAACATTCCCAGGAAAACCTGATGGTTGCTCTCCTTCGGGCAGGACTTAGTGATGGCAGAGAAATTTGGGATCGCTCTGGACGTGGCTAGATCTTCAGGAACTGGGATTCTGCGTTCGGAACGGTGCCACGCCGTGTTTCGGTGTCAGGCTTTGGCGTGAGGACACTCCGGTCCCCCCTTATTCACGCCACCTGCTTCTCCACAAGCCCACCAGCACCCTCTCTTTGCTCCTTCAACGAGAAGGAAGTCCAACTCCCCTATGAGTTTTCCTCTTCCTTCTCTGGGGCCTGTGGAAGCATTTTCCTGAGCAGGCTCCCACCTACTTTCCTAGAACTGCTGTCTTTTATCTACGGGAACTGACTTGGGGGGCGGGGAGCAGGTTGCCTCGCCCCGCCCTGCAGACTCCGGAGGGGGCGGGGGAGGAGAGGGAGCCCCGCCTACCTTTTCCCTCCCGGCGGGAAGAAGAGAGCTGGGCGCCCATCCAGGGGGAATCCAGCCCTGCTGAAGAAGTTTGTGCTTTAAAGCCTTGCACCTCACCAACGCTTCTGATTTAACAAATTGAATTTTAGAGCTAGAAGAGAACTTAGACATCAAGTTCAACTCCCTCAGCTTAGAAGCAAAGAAACTGAAGCCCACAGAGGGAAAATTAGCCTGCCTGAGATCAACCAGCAAGTCGAGGCAGAGAAGCCTTTCCCATTTCAGTCACTCGTTTCCCTGTAGTGCCAGGAACTTCTGCAAAAGTCCGACGCTTATTTCCTAAGACTGAACACCCGCAGTATTGTAAGAGCCGCAGCAAAAGAATGCATACGGTTGTAGGCATGAATCGGATTTTCATAATTTTTGAAATGCCTATATCCAAGTAAATCCAGTAGTGGTAGTTACTTGATCTATTTAAGAAAAAAAAAATAATTTTTTTTTTCTTTTTTTCCAAAGGCTTTCCCAGCCGGTTGCTTTAAATAACCCGTTCTCCCTAATGTATGTGAAATATGGTTTTCATTCACACACTTTGCTGCTATAATCTCAATGCACAATGTAGTCTTGTAAAGTGTGATTGAACTCAATATCTTGGTATAATCGTTGCAACCAATGAGTGTCTACTTCAAGAGATGGGACTAAGTTTTCCAAAATTCTTATTTTGGGTTAACAAAGTTAGGTTTGGGGGGAAGAGGAATATAGATGAAATAAAGTCAGTGAACACCTCCAAACAAATATGTTTTTGCAAAAATAGGTTGATAAGTTGGTGTCACTGAGGGGGTAGGGGTTGCTTCTGAAGTGTGAATTGGCAGATTAAAGAACACCCAAAAAGGGGAGCCTGGGTGCGTGCTTCAGTCGGTTAGGCGGCCCACTACAGCTCAGGTCATGATCTCGCAGTGTGTGAGTTCGAGCCCCGCATCGGGCTCTGTGCTGATAGCTCAGAGACTGGAGCCTGCTTCCGATTCTGTGTCTCCCTCTCTCTCTGCCACTTCCCTGCTTGCTCTCTGTCTCTCTCTCTCTCAAAAGTAATGAACATTAAAAAAAAAATAAAAAAAGAAGACCCAAAAAATGAGACCAGCCAGACCACAGTATTCTAGAGTTGAAAGGCCACGAAGACGTATTATCTCTATTATCTCGTCCAGCCATTCCAAGTGTGGATAAGAAAACAAAAGCCCAGAGCAGGGACTGGCTGGTCCAAGGTCAGTGAGGTCTGTTGCTCTCCAGCCCGGTTCTCACCTTATCATAGTTTTCACACTGGGTGGAAAAAGAAGTAATAGGGTAAACCAGAGAGGAACGTGGAATTTTCAGGAAATGTCATGAGTTCCACCCAACCAATAGGGAAGCTTTCAAAGTGTTTTTGTCAATTCTATTCAGTTCTGGTGGAAGAGAGTAAATGGATCTTTCAGATTCACTGGGGGAAAAAAAAGTGTCAGCAAAGGGTGGGTTAAGCAAGCAGGCTTGATTGGATGCAAATTTATTTCCAGGGACCAAGACCAGTCTGCACCTGGATAGGGAGAGATTGCCTTGCCAAGGAGTTCAAGATTTGCCCAAGCCCCTACCAGAGTCCTGAAGTGCATTCCTAAGAAACTTGCTTCTAAGTCAGGGTTCTTAACCCAGAGACTTTGGGCAATGTCTGAAGATGTTTTTGGTTGTCACAACTGTGGAGAGGCGTGTTACTGGCATCTAGCTCATAGAGGCTAGGGGTGCTGTCGAACACACCCTACAATACAAAGGATAACCCTCCCGATACAGAAAAGCACTGGCCTTGAATGCCAATAGTTTCAGGGCTGAGAAGACTTGCCCAAACTGCTGCCTGTCAATCAGCTTTCTGCTCAGGTCCCGTATTACTTCACCAAACGCGTCCTTCAAAACCCAAGAAATCAAGTAACAATTCTCCAAACTCATCTGTCTCTCTTCGGATCTTTAGATGTTTAACCCCCTCCCCCCAAAACTCCAGACAAAGAGTAGGCAAGCAGAAGAGGAAACAGCAATTTCAATAAAAATACTTAGTACTGAGAATATATGCATAGGAGAGACTATTTTCCACTTATATTTCCCTTGCTCCTTGTTGTCATTCCATCATCCTTGGTAAATTTGTTTTCATTTTAAGTGTTACAAGCAGTTATTATGTATTCCAGGCAGGGCTCCCAAGCTGTGACAATTTAAATGAGGGAGATTTTTTTTATAGAAAAAAAATGATAAAAGTATAAATGGTGTGTTGAAACACTGAAGAAAAGCTTACCTCAGAGAGCAAGATGCTTTTATATGTAGTCTTAATATTAATCCAAAATGAAAATGTCCTTCACTTCCAAAAGGGTAAGATTTGGCAGGTGTAAGATAGAAAAGGGCAAGGACGTGTCCCTTCCACATTTAGAACTGTGCATCTCCTGAAAAGACTTTGAAATAAATAGTGTATAAGAAGCTACAAGTAGGGGCACCTGAGTGGCTCAGTGAAGCGTCCAAATTCGGCTCAGGTCATGATCTCACGGTTCGTGGGTTCGAGCCCCGCATCGGGCTCTGTGCTGACAGCTGAGCCTGGAGCCTGCTTCGGATTCTGTGTCTCCCTCTCTCTCTCTGCCCTTCCCTTACTCATGCTCTGCCTCTGTCTCTCAAAAATAAATAAACCCTGAAAAAAAAATTTTTTTAAAGAAGCTACAAGTAATTTTTTTAATGTTTATTTACTTTTGAGAGAGAGAAAGAGTGAGTGGGTAGGGGGCAGAGAAAGAGGGATCTGAAGCAGGTTTCAGGCTCCCAGCTGTCAGCACAGAGCCGGATGCGGGGCTCGAACTCACGAACCGTGAGATCGTGACCTGAGCCGAAGTCAGATGCTTAACCAACTGAGCCACCCAGGCACCCTAGAAGCTACAAGTAATTTTTAAAATGGCTTAAATCTTGCACACATTCAACTCGGAGGAGTAGAGGAGCTCACAATGGCACAATATGGAAGAGCAGAAGGGACCCTGGGTGAAGGATGTGAAAACTTGGGTTCTAGTCCAGTGTCATGAGTGTTCGCCGTGGCCTTGGCAAATAATACTTTTTATGTGTTCGTTTATTCTACAATTAAAATAATAATAATAGTAACGGTAACAACAGCAGCATAAACAATAATTGCCTCACCGACCTCATAAGGTTGTTGCAAGGCTCACAGTGCATGTAAATGTAAATGCCAGGATGTAGCCTACCTACTATTTACCACATAGCAGCTGGGCCATGGATCCTTTCATCAAAATGAGGCGTGGCCACTGCTGGCAAACTCTCAGGGCAGGATCATACCCAGAGCCATGACAAAGGGGAGTTTTTGATGGATTACTTATTGCACCCTTTAAAATTTCCTTTTCTTAATTAAAAAAAAATTCTATAAGGTGAGGCATTAGTGGAGTACGATGAATATGGCTTAAATAAATATCTTTACAGAAAAAAATCCTGGCAAGGTGTCGTGACCCTGAAACCACAGTGTTAAATGTTAACTACCAAAGAGAAAATTTGCTGTCTTGAAACTTCTAACAAACCGGTGAATGAGTGAGAGTTCACAACAACTCTGAAGGGGTCAACCAATGGAATTTATGTACTTTGTAAAGTAGCCCTAAATCTTATTGGCTGTGTCACAGCATTAAACAAGACAGGGAATATGTATGTCTTTGGTTTGCAGAGGGGATGATACAAACAGAAAATTACTATTAAGGGAAAGAAAGGAAAAAGCATCACTAGATAAAGTGACCTATCCCAAAAGGAGGTGAGAAGTTTCTAGCACATTTGGAAGTTGTTATTTTGTTTATGAGCCCTGGGTATGTTTGACGCAAAATTTTGCAGAGGCAACAAAATGGTGGATAAAGGAAAACTAGTAGATGTAATTTATTTAGGCTCTCAAAGGGCTTTTGATGAAGTCCTACACAAGAGACTGTTAAGGGAACTTGCCAACCACTGGGCAAGAGGTAAAAAGCTGTCAAGCATGAGTTAAAAGTGAGTTAAGAGATAGAGGGGGAATGAAAGAATAAATGACCAGCTCTCAGCATGGAAAAGAGTTAATAGTGGGGTATCAGCAATCGGTGTAAGAATAGTCTTCTCTAGGATATTTATTAACATCCTTGAAAATGAACCAAATAATGAGGTGCTGAAATTTGCTGACTAAACAAAACTATTTTGGCTCCTTAAATCTATACAGATGGAAGTGAGAAACATAGACTCTAAACTCAGTAATTGGGTGAAACAGTGGCAGATGAAACTCAGAGCAGACAAGTGCAGAGTATTGCATGTTGGAAGTAGCAATTTAAATTAGTCATCCACTCGGGTGAGTTCTGAATTAGTTCTACTTACAGGGAAAAGATTTAGGCTCATGGCAGACATCTTAATGAAGACGTATGTGTGATGCTCAGTAGTGTTTAAAAACCAAAAGAAAGAACGAAAAAGAAAGAAAGAAAGAAAGAAAGAAAGAAAGAAAGAAAGAAGAGAAAGAAAGAAAGAAAGAAAGAAAGAAAGAAAGAAAACGAAAGAAAAAGAAAGAAAATACACTATTTAATTGCAGTAAAAATGAAAGGGAATATATTCCAATGTCATTACAGAAATCAGTGGTACACGCTTATTCTGCATTCAGTTAAAATCACCTTGTTTCCAAAAGAAGATGGTAAAAATAGAAAGAAATATCTGATAACACCAGGAACCTCGTTACAAGCAATGGGGAAAGACAGGTACAATCTCCTAAGGAAGGTCTTTTAAGTTATCAATTATTCATAATTGGAATGAAGTAAAGATGAACATAGGGGGTATATATGTTTTCCATAAAAGTAAAAACCTATATTAATATTTTTGCAGCTTGTAGGTAGACTAGAAATGTCTGTAAATGGCATCATAAATTGAATTTTCTTCTGATATGAGATGTTATGAGCTGGTCTCAGTTCCGCCTCATGAGATCCAGTCTGTCTTCTTACTTATTAGTTGCCATTGTCATCTTTTCTAAGATGGGAGATGAGAAAATGTATATATTAAAAAGTTTCATAAGTATTATTTCAAATACCATTTGCAAATTGTTTATATCTTCTTCCAAGCCCAGAAAATGCACAAAGATCTAATATTGAAATCGTGTACCAACTCCAATAAAATAAAGGCAAGTGTCAGTTAAGTCATTGCATTCCCCTGACCCTGGAGGTTCCCAAATACACAAATCATTGCACACTCTTTTTTCCATCTTCCCCAGGAGGCAATTCATCAATGGATTTGACCACCAGGAGCAATAAGATTGCCTACCCCTCTGCCCTTCTCTTCTCCCCAACTGTCTCAGTGAGATTGGCAACTGTGGTTACCAGAAGGTAATCAATCCCCAGGCTTCCAGAGATCAAGCATCTGCTGATAGAGGTCAGAAAGAAATGCTCTCCCACAATGCCAAGTACTTTATAATTGACCGAGTGCTTGTAGAGAAAATGACATCCTAACACTCAAGCTAAGGATCGCACAACTGGGCAGGTACATGGAGAGCAGGGCATGATGGTGGAAACAGTTACTGGCTAATTCCCCTCCTGCAGTATTTTGACTTTACCAGAGGGTTGGGGCTGAGCTATTGGGGTCTTGGCATTTCTTCGCCTGGATTTACTATGTTGAGGCAACTGATGTGCTGGGGAACTTCAGAAGTACTTTTCCTTGTTTGCTTTTCTTCCTGAAATCTAATCCCTGAGCACTGTGGTAAACAAAAATAAACTAAGAATGACTAGCAATAAAACATGAGCAAGAACAAACCAAATATTAATGTAAAAATAGCATTAATAGAAGCTAAACTATGAATTTCACCACAGAAGGGTCACAGCATAGCATTTTTGCAAGTGAAGTGCAGTTATTCTGGAAGAGATCAGCTTATCCTTAAGAAATGATTTTTTTTCTCAGACAGGAATTTGAATGCTTAATAAAACATTTCAGATGACATAGATATTTTCCACTCCAAATGTGTAGATTCTTTCTAAAAGAGGGCATAAGGTAACATTTTCACAGCAATTCTGCAAAATACGAAGGGCAGACTGATTTGCTGGGTGTTGGCATAACACAAGAGCGTTACATCAAGTGGAAAGTTACTGGCATGGGCCAGTGTTTACAGAAGTACCTTCACCTCTACACTCTTTGCACCAAAATATCTTATAAGCTTCTTCCAAAAGATAAACACACACACACACACACACACACACACACACACACACACACAGCTGTTAAATAACTTTGCTATTTTTAGGCTACATCTACTCATCATTTATCTTTGTTCTACTTATGATGACTTATAGATATCAATGTTGCCACCCCCACCCCTCACTTGAGCCTTCCCCAGTCTCTACAGATGCCAGATTTTGTGAACGACAATATCAACACCACTATCATCCAAACTATTACACTAAGTGTACACACCAATGGAATGAGAGAGACATATTCAATATGCTCAGTATGGTTCATCCAAAAGGGCAATTAAAATTCCTGTATGGTAAGCAACTCACTCAGAGAGATGGATGTTAGTTATCTCAGACAGTGACTCTCCAGAATATAACCATAAAGAAAAAAGAGTTTCAGAAAGATAGAAAGAAAGAAAGAAAGAAAGAAAGAAAGAAAGAAAGAAAGAAAGAAAAGGAAGAAAGAAAGGAAGGAAGAAAAAGGAAGGAAGGAAGGAAGGAAGGAAGGAAGGAAGGAAGGAAGGAAGGAAGGAAAAAAGAAAAGTAATGAGTTCCTTAACAGCCAAAACAGATGTCAAAATCCATGCAGTTCATGGATGAATTCTTCAGGTTGCTGCTCAAAGCCAATTTGCTTTTTTTTCCCTTAAATTAATTAATGTATTAATTGCATAGGAATATTTTCCTCAGTTTAGATCATTCTTGTAGTCTATGAATTAAACCTTCATTGTAATGTAACTGCTTTACTGAGATATAATTCACATAGCATATATCTCAGTAAATATAATTCATTCATTTAAAGTACACAATTCAATGTTGTTGTTTTTTTTAGTACATTCGCAGATATGCACAACCATTACCAAAATCCATTTTAGAACATTTTCATCACCTCAAAAAGAAACCCCATATCTTTTAGCTATCATTACCCTATTCCCTTGCTCCTATCCCCACCCCAACCCTAAGCAATCACTAATCTACTTATTATCTCTAAAGATCTCCCTATTCTGGTCTTCATGTGAATGGAATCATATATGATCTTTGTGACTGGCTTCTTTCACTTAGCATAATGTTTTTAAGGTTTATCCATATTGTAGTAGGTATCAGTACTGCATTTCTCTTAATGGCCCAACCATATTCCATTGTGTGGCTACACTACATTTTACTCATCCATGTGCCAATTGAATGGACGTTTAGATTGTTTCCATTTTCTGGCTACTATGAGCTCATGCTGCTGTAAACATTCACATACAAGTCTCGGTATAGACATATGTTTTCATTTCTCTTGGATGTATACTTACGAGTAGAATTACCCAGTCATATGTATAAGTCTGCGGGTCTGTGTTTAATCACTTGATGTGTTTTCCAAAGCAACGACACCACTTCGCATTCCTCCCAAGTGTGTGAGGGTTCCAGTTACTCCTCATCTTCATCAACATGAGTCTTATTGGACTTTTTGACCATAGCCACTCTGATGAGCACAAAGCGGTATCTCATTATGGTTTTCCTTACATTTCCCTGATAACTAATGCCATCAAGCATTGTTTTCATGTGCTTATGGGCCATTTGTATATCTGCTTCAGAGAAATATGGATCCTGATTCTTTGCCCATTTTTTTTTTTTAATTAGGAGCCAGTATACATTTACTTTACACATTATGTTAACAACTGATTCTTCAGCTAACAAATGATGAGAAATAGCAAACAGTAGGTGGGGAGGAACGATTAAGGCCAGCCATACCAACTAACCTGATATAATAAGAGAAGCAAAGACGGTGTCTGGGTTGAATGGCAACCCTCAATTTTTGGCTCTGGTCATGATCGCAGGGTGGGGGGATCAAGCCCAGCATCGGGCTTTGTGCTGAGTGTGGAACCTGCTTAAGATTCTCTCCCTCTCCCTCTATGCCTCTCCTCTGCTCACTAAATAAATAAATAAATAAATAAATAAATAAATAAATAGCTAAATAAGTAAATAAAAGGCAAAGATATAAAAACCAAACATAGGGGAGCCTGGGTGGCTCAGTCGGTTGAGTGTCCAACTTTGGCTCAGGTCATGATCTCACTGCTTGGGAGTTCAAGTCCTGCATTGGGCTGTGTGTTGACAGCTCAGAGCCTGGAGCCTGCTTCAGGTTCTGTGTCTCCCTCTCTTGCTCTGCCCCCCTCCCACTTGCTCTGTCTCTCCCTCAAAAATAAATAAAAGCATTAACAAATTTAAAAAAACAAACATAAAACCTCAGAAAGTAGAACATTCTCCAGTCCTATAGGATAGAAAGGACCATTTCAATGGGCCCTGGAAGTATCTTTGTGTTACAATATGGAAAATGACTCAGGTTTATGGTGATTACCTTATATCCTCTTTACAGGATCATTTCAAATTCTATATGGACCATTTACAAAGGCTGGGAGGTCTATAATAAAATTTAGGGCTGTGACAAACAAACGGGGATTAAGATTTGTTATCAACAGTGTGCTCTTAAATGTTTGTAACAACCAATTCTTCAGGGAAAAGAAAAGGTCTGATTTGCACTCCATAGCTGATTTCAAGCTACCAAAGTGATGGCAACCAGCACAAGAACTTCCTGAAAATTTAACAGTTGGTTCACAAGTCAGTGGAAGCCAACTTGGACATACCACAGCATGATGTGTGACTGACATAAACTAGACACTGTGTTAGTCTCTTTACATACATTACCTTATTACTGCTCTCAATAATCTTTAAGAAGGATTAAGTGTATTCATCCCCAAAGTAAACTGAGTCTCAGAAAGATTGTACAACCTTGCCCAGAGAGACGCAGGTAAGAAATCCATTCTGGTCTTTCCAAAGACTGTGTTCTTCCTGGTACATTAAGTTGATCATCGTTGTTAAGTTAGTCAAAAACAATTCTTAAATTGGATGAAAAGGAACTTCTGAAAGAGAGTCATCCATTACTCCGAAGTTTTACTCACTTGGAACACCACAAGCTTTGACGTCCATGAGCAAGTGAGGTGTAGTACAACTATTCAGAACCAGAAGCAGCTCACTGCATCTTCCCCAGAGTCAAATGGACAGAAAACTATTATACGATAAGGCCAAAAGTCAGGCCAAAAGAGTTTGCAAACAAAGCTTCCCAGCACCCCAAGCAGTGTAGAAAGTGGCTCTGAGTAATCTAGAGACAGTCCCTTCCAGCTTTGCATTCAGCAGTAGCTCCTGCCAAGACCATCCCTTGCCAGGGCTGGGCATGGGACTCTCACCACATCAGTTCCGCGTGCCCCTGGCTCATGCATTCCCACATGCAAAGTCAGCACGTAACACCTTAACAAACAGAGAGTCTTATGGCAAAATACAGAAAATCCCATTTCAGCATAAATCACGTGACAGTATTCCCCCCTACCTGCAAAAAAACAAAAACAAAAACAAAAACAAAAAAACAAGGTAGCGCCTGACCACACTTTTTGGAAGCAGAAGGAGTATATCCTGGAACTGAACATCACCAGGATTCTATTCAAATAAAACACCAAATTCTCCACCCAGAAGCTAATGATCACCATACATAACAATTTGTAATTAGACAAATTGTATGGAAGGAATCACTTATGCAATCAGTGGCAAGTTTCAACTTCTGTTTCCAGCCAGTATCAAAGAGGTGGGGAGATCCACTGCAGGATAACACATTCCCTTTGCCCTCCCTGGCACCCACTGTGGAATATATTACTCCATTATGGAAGCTGCTATTGTATGCCTGTTAGGTAAGTAGGATTTGTAATTCAGCAACCAAGCTTTGGTAATTATCTCTATGCCAGCCAAGGCTCAAACCTCACCATGTCCAAAAGGCTTCAGTTCTCCAAACAACCTAAGAAGGAGATCAGTCAAGTCTTTGGAAGGTCTACTTTTAACTTACAGAAAGAACACATAGCTGTATTCTCTCAATATCTTCAAGAAGCTGGGACTATTAATGTACAATACTCTTCATTGTATTGTGCTCTGCTCTATATTAAAACCTGAATGAACTGGATAAAAAAAAAATACATGCACTTTTTCTTAACCTTTCACCCAACAAAGAATACAATAAACAGTAGCCTCATTCAGAGATCTTTGGTACAAAGCAGAATGCTTTGACACTGAATATTGCCATGAGTATAGGCTTAGTAGTAGACATGCAGGGGAATAGAAGGAGAAAAAAAAAAACAAGAAGAGAGCAGTGATGGACAAAATTTGGAGACCCCCTCCCATCCTCTCCTTTCCACAGCCCACATCATTGGCACCCATGTCCACCTTCAATGGATGGCCCATCAATAACTAAGAGTGCTTTGCTGGACGCTACAACATTTTATACCAACCTTCATCATGCTGTGCTCCCTACCTCTTCCCTCTGTTCCTCTTGTGCTCCAATTTGCAGGTTAGCCATTTGGAATCTCATGTCCTTAGGGCCAGGCTTTTGGTTGTTAAGAAATACAATTCACTAGTCCAACGAGCTAATGGAAAAAGAATAAAGTAGATGACAGCGCTCATCCCCCTGCCCCCTATAGGTATATTCAAACTACTACCGACAGCCTCCTGGAGGTGATTGCTATCCTTTCATTGACTCACCCCAAGAGAGATCCCAGAGGTGAAGATCCCAGTATAGACTACAAAAAAAGATGACACCATGTCAGACTTTATCCTTGGCCACTAGGGTAGAGATAGTCAACGTGAAGAACAGGTGACATGAGATTACATGGCTAGACCTGGCTTCATCAGCATGCATGTTTCTCAACAGTATGCAGATGGCCAAGCAGAGACCCAGCCAGCCTTCCCTGAGGGACTCATTTCCATTCCCATCTCCATACAGATTAACCACAACCAACATTTGAGTCACAACACCCAACAAGGTGGATGGCTTGTAAAAAACAATGTTTTAGAATTCGAGCACCAGAAACACCAGTCTCTAGCAACAACCCTTATCATAACTAAGATGTTGTGAGTTGTGCAACCAATTTCATGTGGCTGGAAGGTTCTTTTGTTTGCCAGGCAGGTAAAACAAGGGTTGACTCCTTTAAACAATCTCCCTTCCCCTACATACCCGTCATATACAGAATTCCTTTGGAAGCCACTGAAAATCCCTGTCACAGAACAGAGGGATGAGAACAATCCATTTGTTTCTATATAAATCTAAGCTCTGCTTCCAACTATTCTAGCTAGTTCCCTTTTCTTTTTCAGACCTCTTGTCAAAATTCTCACATTCCAGGAAAGCTTTTCCTACAATGGGTCTCCTCTACATCAAAATGGCTCCAGTCCAAAGGTTGTGCCAAAGAAAAATTCAACTAGCTGCCAGCAATGTCTTGGCAGCTTGACTGACCTTTCCTTTCTCTACGTTTTTGTTTTTTAATTGTCGTGTCTATCTCAGTTAAGTGACAAACATGTGAGGTAGGAACTGCTTTTATCCTCGTGTTTCTACAGTGCTTCAGATGATGACTCTACTCAATAAATTGAAAATCATTATTATATACAAATGCATATGCTAATGCATGACCTTCAAACTCAGATGGCAGAATGAATAAACAATTACTGGCAAACACCGTGGCATGGCATTTTAGTGAAGTCATCACAGAATCACTAGCAATTATCCTTGCAAACTTAAGGTGAGGTGTCTATGGACACATTTTGGTTTTAAAAAGAGAAACAGAAAAACTGAAAAAATTAGACTCAACACCTTAACATTCAGATCCAGAACTACAGTACAATCTTCCCAACACACACACACACACACACACACACACACACACGCACACCCACACGCACGCAGATACACACAGTAGCGTGCTGGATAAAATCAAGGCAGTTTTGTTTAAAAAAGAAATCCTATCACATTAGTCAAATGCTATTCCTCAGAAGCATAACAAAACTAAAGAAACCAAGTAGAAGGCAAAGATATGAAGTATTTTGACCTACCGTACAGTTTTAAGTTTTGTCTTGCTTGACGTTGGGCAATTAAAGAACTACATCCTGAAATCATCTTCTCATTGGATGGACTCATTAGGGCTTAGAAGGCCTTTCTCGGTAAGTAATTATTAATGGTCCAGTGCCAGCCCAGAGATGCATACCTCATGGGATTCCAGAGAGGTTGGTCTTTACCTGATGCTATTTTTAGTAGGGACTTAGATGATGATGGAGAATATGGTTATTAAGTTCAGGGATGACATCACACCGGGTGTGGTACGTTCCACTTTGGAAAACTGGATAGAAGTGCAAATGATCATGATGACTTGGAGAAGTGGGTGGACACAAACACATTGAGGTTCTGTAGTATAATTCACATGGGAAGAAAAACAAAACACACAATTGCAGGATTCATTTTGTGAAGTCATAAAGAAAACGATCAGGAGGTCACAGTCAACACCAACTACTGGTGTTCGTGCTTTAGCCTTAAAAGCATAATTGACTTTTGCTTAAAAGCAAAACAAGAGGCCTTTCCTTGGCGTTCAGTAGATACAGGCTAGCCTGGAGTGTTCTCTACTGTCTTTCGCTCCACATTTTTAAAGTGGGATATGGAGAATGTGGGGGCATTTAAGAAGAAATCATTTTTTTCTTCTTGATTGTAAGTTTGAGAAACAGCCCTTAGAGAAAATAACGAAAATAATAAAGCTATTTGGCCCAGAAAAGGTTGAGGAAGGGACTTAACCATTTTCAAGCCTAGAAAGAGGAAGAAAGATGGAAGGAAGTCAGTTTTAATGATATTAGAAAATCTCCCTAGCAAGGACACCTTTTGGGATGAGCACTGGGTGTTGTATGGAAACCAATTTGACAATAAATTTCATATATTGAAAAAAAAAAAAAAGAAAGAAAATCTCCCTAGCAAAAAAAGCTGTGGAAAACCAGAGTGCACTGCAAACAGAACCAGACATTCATCACTGAAAA